TTATATTTTAATTTATTATATTTATATATTATGAGACGTCAATTTATGATATTTTTTAATTAAAAAAATTATATATTAAATTATTTAAGGCATTAATAATTTTTTTATATTAAGATAAAAAAAGCATATAGTACAATTTATAATGAATATTTTTTTTAATTGGCACAATGATTAAATATAAGTACACAATTCAAGAAAATTCAGAGAAAAACTTGTCATTTGCAGGAATAATAATTTACAATTTTGAAACTCTGGAGCGTTGGCCTCTATATATTAACCAATTGATTTGTAACTTCGTTGATTTTTATTTTTTATTTTTAAATTACTAGCCGCTAATTTTTAAATTTAATTGTTAAAAATGATAGTATAATGTACTTGCTTGTATTTTACGTTAGAAAAAAATAAAAAAAACGCACACACTTGTCAATATGAAAAGAACTTGAACTGCAATTGACTTATTTCCGACTAATATATCTATGTAGGCGGTTTGTTTTATGTTTTGAAATAAAAATATCTATACTCTTAATTGGCAGTGACGCGGCCCTCGCGCTGAAAATGTTCGATTTCGTGATGAACTCGAGTAGTTAATAATTTGTAGCATATTAGGTGGTTGGGATTCTGTCGTTCCGAAAAAAAGGGTAGTTGGGATTCTGTTTAGATTAAGAGAGAAGTCGATAGTTTCTCTCGCGATTTTTAGTTAATAATAGACGTAGGAGATGAATGAAAATAAAAAGTTAACATCAAGAGAAAAGAAAAAAGTCATATTTTGGGCTTTAGAAGACGTGATGCTCGGTGGTATTTTTAGATTATAAAAAAAAATATCTAATCTATTGATATTCTTAAGGGAAAAAATCTGACATTCAAAAAATAAGAAAAAAAAATATTTAGCTAAAATATAATTAGATGGATTGTTGGATTGGTTTACATTGAATGCTTATCTTATGTTTAACCTCATATATATGTTAAATTTTTAGATACTATTAGGGTAGCCTCATTTTTATCAAACCTGATATTATTAACTTGCTTGACAAGTTCTAAAGATTATATCAAGCCTGCATGTACATGTTCCATACCCTGGAATATAATTAAGTTTACCTGAAAGCAATTCAAAACTACACGCATAAGAATAGGCCCTACCTTTTGGTTTCCATAAAATGAAAACATAAAGAAGCTCTACTTAACATTTTAAGAAAATAATGCGAATGGCGCAAGCTACACCCCTTTCTTTTTTTCTTTTTTTTGGCAGGGACAAAAATAAAAAGATTTAACCTTAACTGTGGCAAAATAAAAAATCCTAAACTTAATTGATTTCTTGTTCTGCCACAGCTATTGAAAATTGTTGTAGTCCATATTATTAATTAATTTTAAGTTAAATATGTTAAAAATCAAGGATTCTCGAGAAGAAAAAGATGGAATGAAAAACTGAATCTCTCGTTAAATTGAAAATAATCCAGCTTTTAAATAGGCTTTACAAGATAATTTTATCTAAAAAGATAACTAATCAATCTTATCTAATCTAATTTAAATGATAACAACCTAAAACAAATAAATAACTTAAACTTCCTAAATTATAGAGATAATGGCTAAATAATAGGATCTAATTTCCAACAATCCCTCTTTTAAATTTAAAGTCTTCAGACTTTAGTTTAAAGAAAATCTGGATAACACCATATCTACAGATCTGCAATCTGGAATCTACAGACCCTCCCTCAAACTAAATTCTGCATGTTGCAAACACCAAGTAACTCTCTCAGTTTTGAAAAAGCTGCTACTTTGAGGGGTTTTGTGAATATATCTGCCACTTGATCTTCTGTTCTGCAATAAATCAACTCAATTGTTCCATCTTCTACCAAGTTGCGCAAGAAATGATACCTCACATGTATATGCTTGCTTCTCCCATGCAAAACTGGATTTCTAGAAAGCTTGATGGCTAAACTATTATCACAATAAATTGAAGTGGCCTCATGTTGATTCAGCTCAAGTTCTTTCATAATTCTTCTCAACCAAATGGCTTGACAAGCACAAGAAGTTGCTGCCACATACTCCGCTTCTGTTGTGGACAAAGTGACAATGGGCTGCTTCTTTGAAGACCATGAAATTGCACCAGATCCCAACATAAAAACAAACCCAGAAGTGCTTTTTTTTGTCATCCAAATCTCCAGCATAATTACTGTCTGTAAACCCTGCGAGATTTGTCTGGTCACCCTTCTTATAGAATAGTCCAAAATCCACAGTTCCACATAAATACCTGAGAATTCTTTTAGCAGTTTGCAAGTGCAACTCCTTTGGATGCTCCATATATCCGCTAATCAAACTTACGCCATGCATTATATCTAGTCTTGTTGCTGTCAAATACATCAGACTTCCAACAATCTGCGTATACTATTTACTGTCCACAAATCTGCCTCCTGGATCTTTCACGAGCTTTACACTTTTATCAACTGATGTAGTGACAGAATTGCAGTTCTTCATTTGAAATCTGTCCAGAACTTCCTGCACATATTTTTTCTGACAAACAAAAATTCTAGAATTTGACTGTACTACTTCCAAACCAAGAAAATAATGCAACAAACCGAGATCTGTCATATCAAATTCAACCTTCATAGACTGCTTGAACTTTTCCAACATGCCAAAATCATTCCCAAGATAAATTAAATCATCAACATATAAGCATACTATAATCAATTTACCTCCATCTCCAAATTTGATGTAAAGTGTATGCTTATAAGGACACTTTTGAAAACCTTCCTTCAAAAAATAAGTATCTATTCGACTATACCAAGCTCTAGGTGCTTGTTTTAGTCCATATAATACTTTCTTCAATTTGTAAACCTTATGCTTAGAACTAGACTTGTTCTTGTAGATTTCCATGTAAGAAGGCAGATTTCACATCAAACTGGTATATCGACCATGAGTTTAGTGCTGCCAATGCAATCACCAATTTGATGGTATCCATTCTTGCAACTAGAGCAAAAACTTCTTAATAATCAATGCCAAACTCTTGCTTGTAACCCTTTGCCACCAAGTGAGCTTTGAATTTGTCAACCGTCCCATTCTCTTTGAGCTTTGTCTTGTAGATCCACTTAACACCAATTGTTTTGTGCCCTTCTGGAAGATCTGTCAACTCCCAAGTTTGGTTCCTTTCAATAGAACCAATTTCTTCTGCCATGGCTTTTTGCCACTTTTCTTCTTTAACAACTTCTTCATATGTCAATAGATCACAATCTACAAATAGAGCAAAATGATTAATTGGAACATCATCTTGAGGTAGATCTGTTACCTCATAATCTTCCAACCATGCTGGTCTTCTCTTTTTGCGTTGAGGTCTGTAACTAGTTCTAGATTCCAGTTCTGGTGTTGTTGGCAGACTTCCTCCAGTACTGAGCTCTACTTCTGTAGGCAAACTTTCTTCAGCTGTCTGTCTTGAAACCTCAAGATCTGCTGAAGTTAAACCTCTAGTCTGCTGTGTTTGACCTTCTGAGTTATACACAGTCAGATCTTCTCCATTTTCGAATTCTGCAGGAATCTGTTGCCCAGATTTTTCTGTCCAAGACCAGGTGCTTGCTTCATCAAACACTACATCACGGCTAATGATGACCTTCTTGGTTAAAGGATTGTATAATCTGTAAGCTTTGGACTGATTACTAACACCAAGGAAAATACACTTTTCCCCTTTGTCATCAAGCTTACTCCTTTTTTTATCTGGCACATGTGCATATGCTATGCACCCAAAAATTCTAAAGTAATCAACAGCAGGTCTACGTCCACTCCAAGCCTCTTCTGGCGTCAAATCTGGAACTGGAGATGTGGGACTTCTGTTCAAGATATGAACACTCCAATTAATAGCTTCTGGCCAAAACTCCTTAGACACATCGCTCTTTGACATCAGACTTCGCACCATATTCATGATTGTGCGATTCCTCCTCTCACATACACCATTCTACTAAGGTGTATAGGCTGTTGTGAGTTGCCTTTCAATGCCATTAAACTCACAAAAATCTGCAAATTCCTTTGAATTAAACTCACCACCACGATCTGTACGCAGAACCTTTACAGATCTGCCAACCTCATTCTCACCCAAGACTTTGAAAATTTTAAAGGCTGCTAAGGCTTCTGACTTGGTCTGCAAAAAATACACCCATGTTTTGCGACTATAATCATCAACAAAGGTAATAAAGTATTGTTTAACTCCATTAGATGTTGGATTTATGGGTCCACATAGATCAGAATGAATCAGATCTAGCACCTGCTTTGCTCTCCAAGATCTGTCTTTAGGAAAACTGTCACGGTGCTGTTTACTGACCACGCAGATATCACAAATTTCTGAAGGAGAATCAAAATGAGGAAGACCATTTACCATCTTCTCATACTGCAAAGCTTTCAACCCACCAAAATAAAGATGTCCAAATCGGCAATGCCATAACCAAGCTGTGTCCTTTAATCTAGTAGATAAACATGACAGATTTGTGGTCCGCAAGTATAATGGAAACAACCTATTTCCCATCATCTTGATCTTTGCAATCAGGCTAAGGTTTGAATCATGAATTTGGCAAACTCCATCTTTAATAAGGATTTCATATCCTTTTTCTTGTAGCTATCCCAAACTAAGCAGATTTGACTTTAAATCTGGTACATACAAAACATTAGAAATAGTCTGAATTGAATTGTCTTTAGCACGAATGGTTACCTTTCCCCTTCCCTTGACTGCAATAGTGGAATTATCACCAAATTTCACCTTGTCTTGACAAGACTCATCCAAATCTGAAAACGCAGATTTGTCTCCACACACGTGGTTGCCGCAACCAGTATCCAAATACCACACATTCTTCTTGCTGACTTCTTTAGGATGGCAGACCATGAATTGAGAGGAATCGTCATTGTTCTCATTGTGTTCTGCAAAATTGGAACTTTCTCCTCTATTTAGATTAGCATGGCACTCAGAATGATAATGGCCATACTTATGACATCTGAAGCATTCAATATTTGTCTTTCCTACAGATTTGGATCTGTTATCTGCAGCTTGATAATTTCTATTTTGCCACCTCTTCTGAATTCCAATGGTTGAACTTTCCTCCAATCTGTCATATCTCAGTCTACCAGATCTTAATCTGCCTTTCCAGTTTTCTTTTCCTCGACCTACAGCCCTTGAATTAATTATGGTATGCAAGGCTTGTGTCTGCGAAATTTGCACTGCTTGCTCTTGCTTGTCTTGGCGATTTATCTTCCGCTCATGAATTAACAATGAGTTATGCAACTCATCAAGAGAAAGTGTCTCAATATCATTTGACTCCTCAATTGAACAAACAACATAATTGAATTTTGTTGTCATAGACCGAAGGATTTTCTCAACTATAGCAACATCCTCCAGATTTTCACCATGGATCCTCATCTTGTTTGCAATAGCCATCGTCCTTGCAAAATAATCATCTATAGATTCACCAATCTGCATCTACAGAACTTCGAATGCTGCCCGCAAAGCCTGGCACTGTTGCCACTTTGCTCTTTCATTCCCTTGGTACTTCTTCATGGAATCCCAAATATTCTTGGAAATAGACTTGTTAAGAATTGTTTCCAAGATAGCCCGATCTATGGCTTGGAACAAATAGTTCTTAGCCTTGAGATCCTTCAATTTTTCCTTCTCAATTTCTGCCCTCTATGCATCATTTGCACCTGCCGTTGGTTCTAGAATTCCAGCTTCAACAACAATCCAATACTCTTTGGACCGAAGAAAATTCTCCATCAACATACTCCAATGGTCGTAGTGATGACCATCAAAACAAGGGATTGAGGGCTGGACATAATTTTCAGAAGCCATGGAATTTTTCAGAAATGGGCTCTGATACCAAATGTTAAAAAACAAGGATTTCCGAGAAGAAGAAGATGGAATGAAAAACTGAATCTCTCGTTAAACTGAAAATAATCCAGTCTTTAAATAAGCTTTACAAGATAATATTATCTAAAAAGATAACTAACCAATCTTATCTAATCTAATTTAAATGATAACAATCTAAAACAAATAAATAACTTAAACTTCCTAAATTATAGAGATAATGGCCAAATAATAAGATCTAATTTACAACAAAATAATCATATTTCATGTTCACACCAACATGTTAAATTTTCATAAATACTAGAAGTAGGGCAAGCAAATGTTGCATCAACTGGTTGTCATGTCAAGTAAACTGTTTTTTTACGTAGTTTTTTTTTTTTTAATATTAAAAATAGAATTTAAATCTCACATCTTTAAATTTATATGATAAATCGTTGATAAAGAGATGGTAGCAACTAGCCCACTATACCATTCTCTTTGATGTAGCTTTCTTAACTTTATAATTAGAAAAATAATTAATTAAATATGCTAATTTACTTCAGCTACAAGGTAATTAGGCAAGCACGAGAAATTTGTCGGTGTACTTTAATTTGGATCATCTATATTCAACATTATCAATTATTATATTCTTTCTCGCTAAATATGCATGTTTGTCGTTTACTATAAAAGGAAATACATGTTTGACGTTTTCTTGAGGTTCCGAAGGTTGCGTAGTGAAACTGACAGGGAGTACTTGAATTAGAGAAAAAATTAATGAAGATTTTTTATATTAAACTGAAATAGTAGAAGACTTTTTAATTGTGCTAAGTACTTAAGTATTTAAATAATAATGTTTTAATAAAAAAAATTTTAATTCAAGTCTTATAATATATAAATAAAATTAGTTAAGAAATAAAAATATTTATTTTTTATTATATAATTCAAGATTTAAAGATAAAAAACCTTTAAATTATCCAACTTATTGTGTTTGGACAATCTATTTTTTTTTATGTATTTGATAATAATAGGTTATATAAGAATAAATAATTCTCTTTTTTCTTTAAAATTTTCTCAACTTAACTTACAATTTAA